GTATTGTAAAGGAGACTTAATTGGATGTAATGAGGACTAACATTTACAGAGCACTTCCTATGTGCCAAGCACTGTTCTCATAGTGACAGCAACTCTCGAAGGGAGACTTTACAGATGAGAAACTGAGATACAGACAAGTTAAATAATTTATCCCCAAATCAAACAGCTAGTAAGTAGAGGAAAGGGGTTTAAAACTCAGACAGCATACCTTTGGATCTGTGTACTTAATGACTACTGGGTAGTACAGATAGTATTCGGGGGATCTTCCGAGGACAGCAGCAAAAGCATGCCACCTGCCTTCCTAGGGATGGGTGGCAAGGAGCCAAATGGAGCAGCCTCAGGAAGTCTGTTCCCACCCCAATTTGCACAAAGACTGTCCTTGTAAGATTGGGAGGACAAGGGATGATGTTGATCTGTGCCTTGGTATCCTGGTGTCAGGAGCAGGGGCAGCCAAATGTTGTGCATTCTTGTTAGCCTTTGGATGAGCAATTAAACCAGGGAGGCTTATCTGGTGACAGTCCTCCTGCAGTGACGTTACTGCTCACCCTGGCCCCTGCCAAAGGCCAACCTCGTGCATTCCCAAGGCTGAGAGCCTTCAGCGGCCCTCTGTCCTCAGGGACAGAGATTCCATACAAGGGCTGCAGCATTTTCTCCCTCTTTCTCAGAAAGAGAGGCTGGGTGTGGTGGCCAGTAAAATGTGTTTTATGCAGATTGTGTTGGCCAGCACTCTCCATCCTTCTCTAGCCACACAGACTCAGAATACTTTCCTCTGATGTCTTCAGCAGCCAGCTTCTCCATGGGAGAAATGAGGGAGGGATCTGTAAGAGTGACCAAAATGAGACACCATGGGGCTGGGGAAGCTTCCCCTCTCCAGTGCGTTCTCTCCACCCCATGCCCAGTCCCTTGCCCCATCACCCTACTGGCTGATCCCTAGATTTCTCTCTTAGTATGCAAGATATCAAAGCTGCTTGGGGGATCCATTGAGGTGCTTAGTATCCAATAACCAAAATTCCTGGGGCCAGGAATATGTCAGTTCAAATGAACTTTGTTTTAGGCATAAATGCATTGTCCTTCTTTTTTTAAGAGAAAATCTGGGCCTCACAGACCCATGATGAAAGGGTGGGGACTGGCCCTTAAGAGAGAACTCTGTCACTGCCTCTAACTAGGCTCTAGTTACCTGTAAAGGTGTGCAGAGGAAGTCACTCTCTAACCATTCTTGGTCACACACTCCAGTCCTTAACTGGCCTTACTGTCAGTAAATGTTTCTTATCTAAACTGAATCTCCCACACTGAACTCCACACCAACTCACTTTTTCTTGCTCAGCAGCACCAGGAGAGCTAGGGAGTAAAGTCTGAACACCCTTCCTTTTGTAGCTGAAGACAGCTCATAACACTGCTCTCATGGTATCTCTCACATTTCTGTCAGTGTCTCCTGGGTCCCCAACAGTGCCAAGTCCCACTGCCCATCTGCCCACTGCTGGCGTCCTTCCCTTGCCCCTGAGCCAGACCTCGGCTTGGCCATTCTGAATTCAGCACCCATATGGGAGGGGATACTCTCGTCTGTGCTTTTAGGAAATGCCTGCCCTTGCATCCCCTGGCAGGTGGGGCGGGGGCGGGGGGGGGGGGCCTGCCCTTTACCGCTCCCGCTTGGGTGTGCTCCCAGGAGAGGGCAAGCATCACAGCAGCTGTTTCTCGCTTATATTTCCTTCTGGAAACTTCAGCTGAACAATGGCCTCTGCGGTTTGTGGGTCTCCAGAAGTAATAGACAGGTGTTAGGTGTCTTGTGTCTGTAGAAAAGGAGCCTGAACAACTGAGAACAAACAACAGCTGCTTGGTAACACGAGCTCCTCGCACTTAAAGTCGGAGGCCTGACAACGGCTGGGGAAGGGGAGGCCAGTTTGGCTGGCCACCACCTGCCTGGGAGGCCAGAGGTGAGGTCAGTTTCCCAGAGAACCATGGAGTCCGCTGAGAGGGCTGAGAGCCAAATGTGGGAGAGAGGTGGGATTGGGAGAGAGGCTTGCAGAAGAATGCAGTGTCTGAGATTCTGAAACGCGTCGTGGACACCAGATACTTGCAGAAACAGTTTTTTAAAACTTTGCCTTTCCATTTTAACAATAAAATAACTGACATGTTATTTCATGATCTATCTGATAAAATCGGGGCTGTGAAAATGCTGGCGCTACCTGGGACCTGTTTTTCAGAGCTCACACTTTTGTTGGGATTTTGAGGGACATCTAATGGGTTTCGGAAGACCCGGGTTCAAGTTCTGGCTTTGTCTTTGAGTATTGTTGTTGTTATTTACCTATATCCTTGGATAAAGTTCTACCTTACTCCTAGGTTGCTGGGAAGATAAAATGTTATATAGGAAAGCCATTTACAAAAGTGTGAAGTGAAGTTTACTATACCAAACATACAGGACACTAGAGAGAATCAAAAGGAGAAACTTGGTTCTTCCCTTAAGGTGCTTATAGTCTAAACAGTATGGGTGGCTCACAGCTGCTGGACATGTCATTTTCCAGAGCAGTGTCCCTTGTACCATCTGACTTGATAGTGCTATAGTAAAAAGCAAACAGAAACAGCTGGGGCAGCGGGGCAGGGGATGTGTTTTGAACAGGGTTTTAATGGATGAAAAAGTTATGGCTTGAAGCAAACAGGGGACTGCAAGTGGAAGTGAGAGAGGGCAGTGTTAGAGACTTGAGGTGCTCTGGGTATCTGCCTCCCAGCCACGGGAAAGCATTTCAGACTTAGTTTGGAGGGGGTTTTTCCTCAGGCCAACTAAAAGGTAAATGATCACTCTCAACTCCTGCTGTCCCCAGGGCTTCCATGAAATCTCCTAGTACTTCAGATTTTTAGTCTGCCACCTAACGAGGATGGACAAAGTGGCTGAAGTGTGTAGGAGTGGGGAGCTGGTGCTCATTGTTCCTTTAAGAGGCATACATTTAAATTCAGAGTGCTGGCCATGAACTTCACTGGGGTGCTTCCTCCGAACCTCCCTTTCCCCAAAATACCCTTCCAGTCGTTTGGCCCCTCTATTGTGGATCCATGTGTCTGGTTTGTTTCTGGCCTCCAAGTGAAAGGTAGTACCCCAGCTTCCCTTCTCTCCTTAAACACCTGAGACGCCAGTCTCCTCAACAGGTAGGTTCCTTGAACTGGGAAGTTATCAGATCCCTGGCACAGCGCTTGTCCTTGGTGGAAATCCAAGGCATTGAGCAATCTGTGGTGCCTTGGTGTAGCTCTGGATCCTGAAGTTTGGAGTTACAGCTCAGCCTGGTCATTCCTGGAACTGGAGCCAGAGCTGGAGCCAGAGGAAGTGTCCTGCTTCTTGCCAGGCCTGACACCTGATGGGGAGAGGTTTCTTCTTTCTATGCCACCTCCGGAAGTCAAAATAGAGTAATGAAAAACTACCCTCAAGAGAGCCAGTGGCCGGATGTGGAGATTCAGAAATAAGATGAAGCTGATGTTCTGGGGAGTCATTTATGGATGGGCCCTCCCTTTGCTTTTTTGGCCATAGTATCTCTCTCCTGAGTGAAAAGTACTCCCCTGTTTCCTGCCACCTCTGGGAGGTTGTGCAATGTCACGATGCCTTTTACTCCCCGCTGTGTGTCATCACAGGGCACGGTGGACCCATGGCTACCTGTCACACTTGACATCTTGCTGAATTGCAGGGACATTTTCTCCTGCATTGAATTCTTGTGACCATTAGGGATGTGATTCTTCCCTCAGCTTTGGGACACTTGTGAAATGTTCCCATGACCTTCACCCTGGCAGAGAAGCTGGGCACCAGCTCCCAACCAGAAACTGGACTTACACAGGAACAGAGAAGATGAGTGTGGATTGAATGGTGTATTCTTTTCTGTTCCACCTGGTCTCTACTTGGGTTCTCATTTGCAGGACTGTCTGGAGAGGCAAACACACTGTGCTGGGAGGGAGGAGAATGGGGCCATAGAGCCTCTGCTCTGAAAACTGGGCTGGTTTAGACTCATTCTCAACAGAGCCTTCGGTAGGGTGCATCACTCCTAGAGCCACTCTCTCAGGTTGTACTTGGGTCTAGGGAGTGAGCAGGTCTGCACAGCTTAGGACACAGCAGGACTGACCCAAACTTTCTAGGCCCCATGAATGGGGACATACTAGACATTTTTGTGACCCAGTCCATGCCCCTTGCAGGTTGAAGCAGAATTGAATCATCCCCCAGGAATGCAAAGGGAGCAAGCACCCTCAGCCCCCTGATCCCCCTCAGAGCTTCCCTGGATGCTGTGCCTCTGGGTGCTCACCCTCTGATTGGATTCTTTGATTGGGATGGGGCTACGGTATTGCTGGGGTAGCTCGAGATGTACAGGGATCGTCCCTTTTCCTTACTGGTCCTGTGCATTCTGTGTCTTCAGATTGTCTGTCCTTCCTTGGTATGTCATGTCTGCTGTCTCAGCTTACCCTGCAGAACTGTCCTCTCCTCACAGCTCCTCATTCGGGAAGCAGCCTCCAGAAACCCGTGGTCTTCTGTCAACTACTCATCCCCCTGTGCCCCCACCTGCACTCCAAATAATTCAAAGAAATCACCTTTTTTAGGAGCAGAGAGCCAGTGTGTGAAGTCTCCTGGTTCTCCCTCAGCCCTTTGTCAAGGGCGGCCTTGGAGAGGGACTGAATCCCTTGATTTCTCCCTTCTGCTGGCCTGCCCTCTTCCTTCAGGAAAATCGGGGCGTGAGATTAATGAGCGCTGCCTGGCCGGCTGTCGCTGAGAGAAAGTTTGGTTCGTGATCCTATTTCATTAGGCTGATTGGAGCAGCCTTCACCCGGAGGTAGAGTCCCTCTCCAGGGAGTCCATGTACAGTTACACTAGCTGTCACTGCCAGTGCCCGCCCTTTCTGGACAGATGTGACCTCCTCTCACCCCCCTCTTCACCCCCACTCTCCCTCCTTCCTTTATTTTTATCCAGCGCCTCGCTTCCTCTCTCTCTTTCCTTCTCCCACCTCTGCCTCTTCCCCCTGCCCTCTGCCTCCCTGCAGCGCCAAGCCGGGCCCTGCAACCTCGTCTGCCGCACGCAAACCGCTGAGAGTTGGCGGAGCCGCCTCCTGGGGCCCGGGCAGCCGCGGCCGGCTAAGGCGTCGACGCCAGCAGGCGAGCGAGAGCCGCAGAAGAAAAACAAGCGGGCGCGCGCGGGAGCCCCGGGAGGGTGGCCAGCCGGCGGCGGGCAGGCGCGGACGGCGGAGGACCAGCGCATGCAAAAGTTAGACTCTGGCAGCCGCGTGCCCAGCCCCGAAGCTCCGAGCTCGCGGCCCTCGGGAGAGGAACTTGATCTTCCTGCAGCTGGAGTCGCGAGCAGTGCCCTACCTAAGAGGGCGGAAAGCGCCGGGCGAGCGTGCAGCGGGACGCAGCCGGTGGGAGCGCTACAGCGACGAGGACCCATGCCGGCGGCCAACCTGATGGAGAACCTGCAGCTGCCAGCCTTGCAGGTGCCCGGGCCGCAGGGCGCGCCCGAAGGCAGCCCGGTCCGGTCCAGCTCGTCGACCCCCACGCTCCGCCGCCGGCGCTTCAAGATGCACCGCACAAAGAACGTGCTGGAGCAGAGCCTAGAGGCCGGGCTGGCCCGGGACATGCCGGGCGTCTTGGCTCCTGGCAAGGAGTTCCTGCAGCTGCCGGCCATCGAGATCACGCCTTCCAGCGACGAGGACACCCCGTGGTCCAACTGCTCCACACCCAGCGCCTCCCCGCGCCGAAAACGCTTCCTCCTCCGCAAGTGGCTGAGGGTGAGGGAGCGGAAGGAGTGCAGTGAAAGCAGGTACGTCTCTGTTCTGCCCCGGCCCTTCTTTCCAGCCTCCTCCTGTCACCATATCCTTCCCAGCCTTCTCATCTCACCAGATCCCCAGAGCCGTCGGGGCGCCAGGGCACCTAGGCATCAATTCGGGAAGAATGCAGAAGCCCTTCACCCCAGTGCGCTTCAGGCACTGAGGCACCTGATGTAGGGTTAGTGCACTTTAGCTCCTGGCAACCCAGGGCCAGGGGCCAGTGACTTTAATAGAGTAAGTCCATCTAACACATTGTCCAGAGACTTAAGCATTGCATCTCTGATCCTCACAGCAAAATGAATAATAAAAACCATACCATGTGATGTTTATTGCTCCCGTGTCATGTGCCAGTCATTATAGCAAGCACTTCACTGTCTATCTCTAAATTTAATCCTCACAAAAACTTTAAATTAGGCATTAGTATTTCCCCCATTTTACAGGTAGAGATAGTGGAAGTGGAGAGATGTTAAGGGGCTTCACCACTTAGACTTACCTTTCTAAATACTCCATTTCAATTTTTATTATTTTATCTTTGGCAGCACTGGGGTACCTTTTGTGAGTCTGCGTGCCAGCAACTTTTTGGCCTGGGTAAAATGTGACATCTGAGTAATGGGGGGAGTCTGCTTTCCCTGTGCAGAGAATTGATGTGGAAAACCATAGGCAGCTCTACACAGCCTTGGCCAGAAGTGGTGCTGGGGCCAAGGCCAAGGCCATGCATGGCCTTGCGGAGGACCTCATTCACTTATGTTCAGACTCTAGGGCCCAGGCCCTTGACAGCGGATTGTGCCCTTGTGTGGGGTAACTAGCAGTTGGCCACCTTCCCTGAGACTTCTCCCAGTCTGATCCATTTCACTCATTTCAACTCAACAGGTACTTGTTGTATGTTCTTGGGAGCTCAGCCTGCTACCAGCTCATGGTGACTGCTTGGGGGCAGGGGAGACAGGGCTGGGGAGACTGAGGGCAAGTGAAGTTAAGAAGAGAGACGGGAGGAGACTTGGACAAGACACTGATATTAGAGAGATGGAACCACAGAGAGGCAGTCTCGGCGTGCCACGTGGTCCTGACTGCAGGGAAAGACAGGAGAAGAGCTCCTGGAACGCAGAGGCTCCAGCCGTGACAAACACCAGCAGGCAGTGTGAACTCGCAGGAAAAGTGAGAGGGCAGGCGTGCCATCGGGAAAGGGAAACCGTTGGGACAAAGGTGTAAGAACAGGGTAAGCCAAACAAAAGATAAAAAATATGAACAATAAAATGGCAGTAAATGCATATCTATCAACAAATCTAAAAAAAAAAAAAACAAATCTAAAAAACAAAATAAATGAACAAGCAGAACAGAAACAGACTCATAGATACAGAGAACATTTTGATGGTTGCCAGATGGGAAGGGGGGTGGGAGGACTGGGTGAAAAAGGTGAAGGGACTAAGAAGTACAAATTGGCGGTTACAGAATAGTCATGGGGATGTAAAGTACAGCATAAGGGGTGTAGTCAACACTATTCTAATACCTATGTGTGGTGTCAGATGGGTGTGACATTTATTGAAATGATCACTTAGTAAGTGATATAATGTCTAATCACTGGGGTGTACCTGTGAAACCAATATAAATTGTTCATGAACTGTAGTTGAAAAATTAAAAAAATAATACCTACTAAAAAAGAAGAACAGGGTGAGCCTTGTGTTTCTGGGGGACATTGTGGGATCCGCAGGGTCACACAGAGGATGGGTGTCCTGAGCCTCCCAGGGTTTCTCTTTTCCTGGGTACAGGGATAGGTGCAGTTGTCCCTCTGCAGGCGCAGGAGCAGAGCTTTGTTCTGAGGCTTGTGTGGACCTGGGAGAACAATTCTTTTTGTCTGCTACAGTGCATCCTGCTGTCTTGCCACAGTGTAGATGGAAGTGGGGCACTCGTGGTGGGAGCTAATCTTGAACTGAAATAGTTCATTATGGTTTGCGAGCTTTCTCCTCATATGTGAGAGACCCTAAAAGAGACCCTGTTCTGATGTTGAGATTCTGTCATGCAGGCTGAGGACAAAACATGGGGAAAAGAGTCCTGCGTTGCTGGCCAGGGTGGGAGGGGGTGGATTCGGTTAGATTTAAGAAAGACTTTCCTGGTTTTGAGAATAGTCTTAAGAGTTCAGTGAAATCTTCATTTTTGTTGGAGTAGGGAATGTACTCTTAAAATCATGAAGGATTTAAGACAGTTCTTTTAAATGGTCGCTTGTTGCATTGGAAGAATACACACATATATGCATAAAAAGGCAGACTCTGTATTCAAACCCAAGTTTGTCCAATTCAAATCTCTGTTCTTAACACAGTTGTACTGCCTCTGTTGGAATCTACCTGGATTGTGGCTAAAACAAGTCCCCATAATTTTTAGTCCTTGGAAATGGAAGCCTTCTTGGAAAGAAAAGAAGCAATCAAGTGTAGGTGCCCATTGAGATTCTCTGAGAAGGAGACAGCATTTAGAGGCATTTGAGTACAAAGTATTGTTCTTAAAGCCAGGAGACTTAGATTTACATTTTAGTTCTATCATTTATTAGCTATGGAGTCTTGGACCCCTCGCCTGAACTCTGTGTCTCACCTTCTCCACTTGTGGAAGGGATATTTGCGAGCTAATGGGAGGTCTTGAGAGTAATACATGTGAAAATGCTTTGTAACTTACTCTTCCTGTGCATTGCCATGATTCTGTGAGTGTCTCACATGGAGTGGGTGTGTGCTTGAGAGCAGGAAGTTACACACTCACTGTGGCCTGGAGTCACACCTGGGACTGCTCACACACGACAGGATTGAGGAACGATGATCAGAAAGTGACTCTGCTATGGATGGGATTAGGGGGCATCAAGCACACTGGGCCCAGCGTGACAATTTCACATTTGCCACCCCAGTCTATGTCTCCGCATGCACAGAAAAGCACCCAGAAAAGCACTGATAGGCCCGCCATGCATTCTCTCTGACATGGTAGAAGGCAGGGGCCAGGAGTACGTGTGCATTTTAACTGCTAAACTGAAAATACAAAGAGGAACTGAGACCCCTTTCTTCTCCTTCTTAGCCCTGGGAAGGAAGGAGTGGAGAAAATGGTCATGTATTGGCATGGTTTGGGGTGTAAGGACCAGGGGTTTAGCACACAAATATTCCATTCTTGCCTGGCTCATCTTTGTATCTTCATGTCAGGCATTATGCTTGGCCTTTCGTATGATCCAAAGATTTTTGCTGATGAATAAAGTAATAATGAGCGAGTAAATTATTCCTTTTTCTATACTGTTTGGAATGGAATTCTCTTTAGTCATGAGTCAGGGAAAATTTCCTTGAGGAGAAAAAAAAATGAGGATTTTTTTTCTTTATTGAGATATAATTTACACACCATGCAATTCACTCATTTTTACAGTATGCAATTCAATATTTTCTAATCAGATTCACAAATATGTGCAACTATCACCATGGTAAATTTTAGAACATTTTCCTAATCTCAGAGACAAAGCTTTACCCTTTATATATTACCCTTAATCCCCCTATTCCTCATCCCTCCAGCCCTAGGCAACCTGGAATCTACTTTCTGTGGAAGTGGAATTTTGAATGGGGACCAAATGTGTGTTGGTGACAGCAGTTTGGATATGATAGTTTCAAGATGGGGATGGGTGACCAAGTGTAGTCTTGATGAGGGATGTGGAAAAAAGAGGATGGGGAGGCGATGGGCTGACAAACTATGATTTATACAGAAGAGATTGAATTTCAGTTAATCAGTCAGCGAACAAAGACATACTGAGAGTCTACAAATAGGGTGCTGTGCACACAAAAAGGATTCGGCCCAGTGCGGAACCATTGTATGTTCTGGAACCTGGGAGATACCTAATCTGAGCTCTTTCTTGCTGTTCAGTGTGAACAGGATGGTGAGGTGGAGGCCAGAGCCTTGCATAATGTCCTAGTGGTCCAGCTGGGATTTGTGCGAGGCAGCATTTGACCTAAGATGGCTCTGGTTTGCTTTGTGGGCCCTGGTGCCTGCTGAGCTCTCTGCATGATGCAGTCGAAGTTGGTGAGGCAAGCTCTAAGAATGCATCCTGCATGTCTCCCAAAGTCCCACGGCCATAATTGCTTGTGAGGATTGTTCAAAACCCAAAGTGAGGATCAGAGCTCCTCTCTGACCTGCTGGATGATGGCAAGGTCAGCAATTAGATGGAGCTGCATCTTCCAGGATGTCATCCTGTCATTCTCTGGAGAGGAAGGGGGAGCTGACCAGGGCCAGGCAAGTAGGTGCAGATGGCTAACTGCAGCACAGAAGCTCTTCTCTGCCTCTCACTACCTAGGCCGCCCTCATTGGTGTTGCCATTTACACCATCTTTCCCTCAACTGTTCTGCCCTTCTTCTGTCTGACATACCTGCCTGTGGTGACTGCTCACAGTCCAGCATGCTGACAGAGAGAGAGTCTAGTTGGCCTGGAGCCTCAGGATTTTGCTTAGCTGCACTTCTGACCCTGAGTTCTACCTCTCACGGATTCTGTCTGGCCTGGATGACCACATTACCTACGTGATGCCAGCCTAGCTATAACGTGAGTTTGCAGGTGAGGAGTAAACATTCTTGTTATATTTATCTTGATTCTTCATCCCCTTCCTCTTACCTTTAGGGCTTGTCTTGCTTCCGGTTTTAGCTTGGGTTTCTAGGGGGACAGGTGATTCCAATGGTCCACCCCTTAGCTCTGTGTCCACCCTGCAGTGTCTGAGAAGCACAGGGAGTGTCGGAGAGGAAAAGTCTTAACACAAAGCACCGAACAACTGCACAGGAAACCAGCCATGTGTCAGCAGGTTAAGTCATTCATCAGTGCTGCATAAAGTGAAACTAGCAACATGTCCACTAGACCTATAGTTCCTTGAGGGTGGAGACCGTGTCTCACTTTGTGCCAAGTTTTCTGCTATGTGCTTTTAGTACACAGTCACAGCGAATCCTCAAAACAACCCCCAGGTGGGGTTTAGGGCTGAGGATCCTGAAGTTCAGAGGTTAACTTG